CCCCTCACGGAGAGACTTCCAGCATCTCCTCCTTGAAATCCATCCTGTGCTGCTCCCGGCTCTCTGGCTGCTCCAGGCGGCTGTCCCCGTCCTGGGACCTCGGATAAGTTTGTCTGCCTCTCTGCAGCTGTTTCCCCGGCTCCCAAATGAGGATAAGAACGTCCCTCTCGCAGGTGTGTCAGGAGGACTAAATTAGTTATCCCATGGGAGCACTTCGCACAGTGCTTGGCATGTAGCATATGCTCATTAAATGGAATTGCTGCTCTCTGGGCCTCGGTTTCCCTCCCTGTACTATATGGGGATTAGACCAGGTAAACACACCCAGCCTCGAGGCCTTTGTATCCTTCCAACCGCCAGCACCACTGAGAGGCAACAAGAGTGGAGCACCACGGGGCGTCTGGGTGGCGCAGTCGGGTTGAGCGCCCAACTCTTGGTTTCCACCTGGGTCGTTCTGATCTCAGCATCATGAGATCAAGCCCCACGTGGGGCTCCTTGCTCAGCAGGGAGTGTGCTTCTCTTCTTCTCCCTCTGCCCACCCCCCTGCCAGCAAATCAATCGATCAATCAATCAGTCTTTGAAATAGAGGGGAGCCCTGAGCCACCCACTCTGTGTTCAGGTCCGTGCTCTGCCATGTACTGGCTGCAGACTCTTGGATAAACCACTACGGGCTTCTGCTTCCCCTCTGCTGTCTACTTCACCAGGTGTCCTGAGGATCAAATGAGTTCATACAGGGAAAGCCCTCAGAGAGGTGCCTGCTGATCAAATGCCATGCCGTGTTAGGAAATGCTATCTATTACAGATTACCATGATTGTTAATAGTTTGGTTTTCTTTAAGACTCCTTTTTTTTTAAAGACTCCTTTTTTAGTTAAATGAATTTATTTATAGACAAGGACACTTGCTTTATATCACCACTGGAAATCAAGAGATTGACATCGTAGTTAAAACTTTTAATCCTAATTCTTACTAAAATAAATAATTAATAGAACTTGGAGTAAACCACCTAAAATCCTCTGGCAAACGTCCCTTTAGGTATGGGCATTCCTCACATTGGGACTGACACGAGATGCTCCCGCAGGGCCTGAGACCTGGGTTTATACCTCAGCTCCCCGCCAGGAAACTGGCCTCCTCATCTGGCCTAACCGCTCCACAGCATATGTGGTGCAATTCAAGTAAAAATACTCTGAGAGTCTCAAGCGCTAAGCAAAGGTGGGTTTGAGCGTGTAGAAGGCAAGACTCCTGAGTTTCAGGGACAATTCCCATCCTCAAGAAGTAACCTGAGAGCCCTCAGGATCTCCCAGAATAAAATGATCCCAACACTTCTGGAGCTGCTGGTGAACCCCCACCCCCACCCTCCGTCAGTTGAGGACCATCCCCTAATGCTGACGGGTCCACTCTGAACCCCTGCTCTGTCCTCTTCTGGATGTGTGGAGGCCATCCTGCCTGCTGGCTTCGGTTTACCTTATGGTTTCCCCAGAGCCTGGCAAGCCCGTTTGGATCCACAACTCTGAAGATCTTGGCATTCTCGTCTTCCCACCTGATGTAGGGCTCGTACCTGGCGTCAGAGAGCAGCTGATACACGTAATCCCACAGCAACCGGCAGTCTGCAATTGAACACAAGGGGTGCAGACAGGGGGCTTTCCTGGGGCCATGAGGACAGGCATTAGGAAGGTGCTCTGGGGCTCTCTAAGCTGGGGCCCAGGCATGCAGTGGGATGGTCAAGATGACAGATCAACAGGAACAGCCACATGCGGGGGCTCATGGTCTCATTTATTCACCCCAACTCTGGGAAGTGGTTACCTTTATCCACACAAAGAGATGAAGAAATGGGCTCAGAGAGGTATGGACAGGTCCCAGTCACTGCGCTCCTAAGTGACACGCAGACCAAGGAGTCTAGCCCAGCTCGGCGGACATCAAAGCCAACGCCCTTCACATGGGGGCAGGTGGCAAGGGCAGGCGGTGGGGGTGCTGGAGGGTGGCCAGTGGCCTGAAGCTGCCTCCAGATCCCTCTCTGCCCTTTGCCTCGTTCTCCGTTGAATTGGGATTGTTAAATCCATCCTATCGAGCCCCCTCGTGAGAGGCATGAGAAAATCAAATGTGCCGTCATGGAGGGCAAGTGGCAGAGGGGGCTCGGGAGCGAGAGCTTTGGGCCTCCTCCCTGGTCCACCGGCAGGGTCATTTCAGACAGGTTACCTAACCTCTTCTGAGCCACAGTTTCCTTATAGGTGGTGATATGAGGATTAAGATAATAGACCCAAGAACCCTTGGCACAGTGCCTGGTACAGAGTAAGTGCTCAAAGAATAGTAAGCATTATTATTAAAAAGACCTGATACTTGTGTTCTAGTGCTTCCCAGGCACCCAGATGGCCTGGGTTCACAGCCCAGCGCTGTCACTTACTGCTATGTGATTGATCCTGGGGGAGTCACTTAACCTCTCCATGCTTCATTTTCCTTCCCATAGAATGGGACTAATACTGACCTCCAAAAGCTGATATGGGATTAAATAAAGTTCTCAGAATCATGCCTGGCACACAGTAAGCACCCAACCATTTTAGAAATAAATAAATAAAAATTTAAAGGAGAGGAATACACCATGCCAGTCTCACTGTCTGACTGTGACCGTCTTCACTGTCCCTGCCCTGGAGACAGGGCAGGCTTGGCGACCCTGGGCAGCCCTGCCTGCTGTGGCCAGATTGTGGCTGGCACACAGGACAGTCACCCTATCCCCCCTGACAGCCCAGCACAGACTCTCTCATTCCCCAGCTCAAAACAACCCTCCTCCCTGCCACCCACCACCCTCTGGGACTTGGCCTCAGCACACCTCCCTCTGGGCCAGGGGCATACAGCCTCCTACTCACCAGCGATCCTGCCATCAATGGGGGCCTGCGGCATGGTGGGGAAGGAGCAGGCTCCCTCAGCCCTGCAGCCCAGCTCCACACAGTGAGATACGTTGAGGGACGCCTCCCTGCCAAGGGGCCCCTTGGCCAGGGGACTCAAGGAGCTGGCAAACCCCAGGTGTGATGGTTGCTGCAGGAGATCCCTTCGGGGGGCCAACTGAGGGGGCCCAGTCCCCTCTGCAAGCAGATAAGCACCACTGATTCTGTGGACTCAGAGCCTCCCCCAGCCCAGACCACTCAATGGCATGCCTGGGAGCCCCTTGGGGCAGCACTCGTAATGCTCTTCCTCCAGCCAGTCCCCAGCTGGAAGGTCAGGGAGGTATAGAGGGCATGAGTGAGGGCCAGACAGCCCAGGTGCTAACCCCAGCTCCCAGACAGTAACTCAATCTCTTAAACCCATTCCTTCATCTGTAGAATTGTTTGCAAAGCTAAGGGGTGACAGAACCAAGACCAGAATCCAGGTGTCTTGTATTTCAGTCCTATGCCCTCTCCATCCACCCAATAAATAATTATTGAGAACCTTCTGTGAGCCAGGCATTGTTCTAAAAATCTCGGGGACATATCACTGAACTAAAAAACAGCCCCTGCCCTCATGGACCTTATATTGTAGTCGTGGAAGAAGTCGGGGGTTTGGAAAGGGAGAGAGATGATTAAAATAAAAAAGGAAATAGGGGTGCCTGGATGGCTCATTCGTTGAGCGTCTGCCTTTGGCTCAGGTCATGATCCCAGGGTCCTGGGATCAAGCCTCACATCGGGCTCTCTGCTCAGAGGGAAGCCTGCTTCTCCCTCTCCCACTCCCCCTGCTGGTGCTCCTGCTCTTGCTATCTCTCTCTGTGTCAAATAAATAAATTAAAAAATCTTAAAAAACATAAAAAAGGAAATAGAAACAGTACACAATATGAGGGGGGATGGAATAAAGCACTATAAGGCAGACAGGGAATCCTGGGAAAGACAGGGGTACGTGATGGTAAAAGAAGGTCTCACTGAAGTGTTAACATCTAACAGACATCTAAAGGAAGTAGAGGAGGGAGCTATGTGGGTATCTAGAGGAGGGAATGCCAGGCAGAGGGAACAGCAAGGGCAGAAACCCTGAGGCAGGAGTGTCTCTGGCTTGTTCAATGAACAGTGGGAGAGTTCAGCAGGTGGCAGGAGGTCATTATAAGGACTGTGGCTTTGACTCTGAGTGCAGTGGGAGCCATAGGAAGATTTTGAGCAGAGAAGTGACATGATCTGACTTATGAAGCTCTCTGGCTATGCTATTGCAAATAGATCATAGGAAGTCAAGAGTGAAAACAAGGACACCAATGAGGAAATTCTCTAGAGGTGATGGGGGCTGGGCAATGGGCAGCAGTGGAGGTGTGTGAAGTGGATAGGTTCTGGATAGATTTTGAGGGTAGAGCCAACAGGGCTTGTTGACGGTTGGGATTTGAGCAGGAGAGAAAGAAAGCAATCAAAGGTGACATCCAACATTTTGGCCAGAGCAATTGAGAGGATGAAGTTGCAGTTTGCTGAGATGAGGAAGCCTGGAAGAGGAGCAGGGTTATGGGGAGAAAGGTGGGGCAGGAATCAGGTGTTTGCTTTAGGAGCTTTTAGGGTTGAGATGCCCATTAGACATCCCAGGAGAGGTGTAGCGTAGGCAGTGTGGGGTATGAAAGTCTAGAATTCACAGAGGTCTGGGCATATGCAGGGATCATCAGTACTAGATGGTATTTAGCACACTAGGTCTGAGTGCAGATAAAGAAGAGGCCCCCTGGGCCATGGGGTACCCCAACATTGAGAAGTAAGGGAGAAAAAGAAGCCAGGAAACTGAGAAGGAGTGACCATGGAGTGTTCTGGAAGCCAAGGGAAGAGTTTGAGGGGAGGGGGGATGACCCACTAGGTTGTAGGCCATGAGAGGTGACAGTGAATAAGGACTGACAGTGGATATGGACATCCCCACATTCAGGCTTCTAGGGTCCCTGACAAGAACAGTTTCCACAGGGAGACCAGGAGGAGAGGAAATTCTTTGCTGGAGAGGAGAGCTGAGAAATGAGGAGATGGAAGGTGGAGGGCTGCCGAGAGAGTCACAAGGGCTGGGGTGAGGACTGAGGAGGCAGGGCAGAGGGGAGCTGGGAGCTCAGCCCACACAGCTGCCTCTTCCCTTAGGTTGCCTGGAGGAACCTGCCCTCCCAAAGAGGCCAACTTGGGGGAGGGTCCCAAAGCTCTGAGAAGAGCCTCCTCACCTTCCAGGAGGCAGGGGCAGTGCTGAGTGGGCATCTTCTGCCTGAAGGCCCCTGCAGAAAAGGGTCCACACACTAAGGCTTGCCTCTGGGTCTTGATGTACTGAAGCAGCTCATACAGGACATCACCTAGGGGTGGAGGCAGGGAGCAGGTCGGTCGCCTGCCTGTGGGGTGAGGGCTGGGGTCAGTCACAAGCTTCATGCTGATGAGATGAGAGGCAGCAGAGTGGAAATGGGTAGGGGAGACAAGAGCCACAGGGAAGGGGCGGGCCAAGTGACAGCAGGACAGAGCTCCGGGCTCTGCAAACAAGAGCCAGATTCCTTTGCTGCAGGCCTGCTCTTGCGAGGAACCACCAGGCAAACATTTATGGAAAAGGGGACGTCTGCCATGGTGAGAGGTGAGCATGCTCCTCCAACCAATGCATCCATCTCCCACCATCTCCCTCCCTGGGCCTACCTGGGTTTCCGTCAGAACGTTTTAGAGGGAATCCAGTGAGTTCCCCTGACCTGAACCAGGTGCACGAAGCCGGAAGTCATCCTTGGTGAGAATGCAGAGGGCTCGGCCATTCATCTCAAACCCATGCTCCCCAGTGCGCTGCAGAGAGTACTCCTGCTCAGCCCAGCGCAGCCAGTGCAACACGTCCTCCCTGCTCCAGAGTGCCGGCTGGATGCCTGCAACCACAGGGACAGGGACTGGGAGAGAGCACAGGGCAGGGGCAGGAGCTCTCCCCTTAACAATCACTCATCCACTTCAGGCCCTCTCTGGAATGTCACCTCCTCCGAGAAGCCCACCCAGAATGCTACATCTGAGCAGATGCTCTCCTGTCCTATCTCCCCACTTGTCACCATATCCTGTTCTTTTCCTTCCTGGCACCTTACTTTCCTTGTCATTGCACTTCATAGTTATATGTTTATGTTTATCATTATCTATGCATTATGTATGTGTTCAGTTATTTTATTTTTGGTACCTCCTCACCCCAGTCTGTTTCCCAGTTCTTAATTCAACAGATATTTACTGAGGAACTATTATGTGCCTGGCCCTGGGCTGGTTGTGCTAGGACACAGCGGTGTATGTATTCAGCACCGAGGACAGCGCCTGAACCAGAGGAGGCGCTCCAAAGACCTGTGTTGAGTGATGGTGTCCTGTGAAGAAGGCGTGTTATTGTTACTGTTTTCCCAGTGAGGAAGCTGAGGCTCCCAGAAGCTAGGTGACTAGCCCGGGGTCACACAGGTAGCACGAGGTACAGCCAGGCCCAGAATCCAGGTCTGTCTGGCTGCCACACTCTTCCACTCTGTTGTGCCAGCTCAGCTCTGGGTTTACTCAGGGAACAGCCCAGGGGACAAAGAAGCCTCCTACACCCGTTTCCAGCTTGTGTGTTCTTGTCTCTGGCAATACCCAGACAAGAAGTTGCTTTCTTTCATTCCTCTTCCTCACATGTCTACTCTGCCTGGGCCTATTACGCTCCTAATGCCAATTATTTACCTCCCTCATCTGGGTTGTGTTTAACAGGGCCACTTTATGACTTTTGTGGGCCCTGGTACTCTTGCCTTCCTAGGCCCCCTCCTCCCCTAAAATATATTTAAAATTTTATTTTATGACTGCATTGGTAGAAAGACAAGTATATTGTTATATATTAAAACGTTTTCTTCTGCCTAAAAGTTCATTTTTTTCTCTTGATTTTTAAAAGAAATCAGAACATTTTTGTGGGCCCCTAAAAGTATTGGGGCCCCCAGCACTGGCCCACCATGATGGCGGCCTGCTGCTTTGCTTTGTGTGGTGCTTCTCCTCCCAAGAGCGTTTCAGCCCTATCAGGATCCTGGCCGTGTGACAGTGGGAGGAGCTCAGGGCTCATCAGGGCTGGTGTGACAGGTAGCAAAACTGAGGCAGGGGAGATACCTGTCCAAGGCCACACCTTGGGAGTGACAAAGACTAAACCACCCTGTGACTGCCTTGGTCCCAAATCAGCACAAGAGATAAAACTCGTTTTCATGTTTACAAAAAAAAAGAAAGAAAAAGTGCATCATCCACTTGTTCATCGATTCAACCAATACCTAATGAGCATGGGCCATATGCCAGGCACTGTGCCCCTGCTGGGGACACAGCACAGAGTTAGGCTGGCAGGAGGGAGGTAACCAATGACTATCTTATGACAATCCTGCTCTCTACACAGAGGGAAAGGGCCCTGAGCTACAAAGGCAGAAAGCAGGGCAACACGTCCCAGCTTAGGAGGAAGGAGAGGATCCCCTCAACTTTATTTGGGGACCTAAGAATGAACAATAAAGAAGAAGAAATTTCTGAAACTGGCTGAAAAATTATTTAAGGGGGAAGAAAAGAACAGAAGTAGCAGCTGGCCTTTGTGGTACTACATACCACAAAGCCATGTGATTAAGGTCTGACACCATTACTGAGACTGACAAGTATCAGGGGAAAAGATGGAGCCTGGAAGTGTGTGTGTGCGTGTAAATTTAATACATGTTAGAAGTGGGGTTTTAATTCAGTGGGAAAGGATTGTGAATTTAAGCTATGCTAAAACCACAACTGGCTCTCCACCTGGGAAAAAATATATCTGGACCTTTACCTGTCACCATTTACAAAGATCAGTTCCAGATGGAATTAAGACTTAATGAATAAAACAATAGTTTCTATTGTTTCAAAAGAAGTGTGGGGGGGGGCGCCTGGGTGGCTCAGTCAGTTAAACATCTGCCTCCGGCTCAGGTCATGATCCCAGGATCCTGGGATCAAGCCCCGTGTCGGGCTCCCTGCTCAGCGGGGAGCCTGCTTCTCCCTCTCCCATTCCCCCTGCTTGTGTTCCTGCTCTCGCTGTGTCTCTCTGTGTCAAATAAATAAACAAAATCTTTAGAAAAATGAAGTGGAAATAGGGGGGTGCCTGGCTGGCTCACTCGGAAGAACATGCAACTCTCGATCTCCGGGTTGTGAGTTTGAACACCATGTTTGGGCATAGAGGTTATTTAAAAATAAAATCTTTTTAAAAAGTGGAAATAGGAAACCCACATGCATTAAACAAGGGTGGGGGGGAACCTCAAACCTCAATCATGACAGGAAACTCAGAGGCTGTTATATAAGTAGAAGATGCACTTGATTACACTGAGTTTTGTATGTGTGGTAAAAGATACCATAAACGAAACTAAAAGAGGACAGAATAAAGGGAAATATTTTCAACGCAGATGAGAGATAAAGGGCTAATGTCTATCATAGGTGAAGAGTATCCCTAAGTTGATTTTTTTTTTTTTCAAAAAAAATCTTACCAGCAATTCACAGTGGAGCAGGATTTCTCAGCCAAGGCACTACTGACACTTTGCACCTGATCATTCCTTGCTGTGGGGGCTGTCCTGAACTTTGTGGAATATTCAGCAGCATCCCTGGCCCCTGCCCACTAGATGTCAGCAGCAAACACACACACACACACACACACACACACACACACACACACACACCGAGATGTGACAACCCAAAATGTCTGCAGACGTTGCCACTTGTCCCCAAGGGAGAGGAGCAAAATCGCCTCCGATTGAGAACCTCTGCAGCAGAACAAATTCACTAATAAACATGTGGCAAGACCCAACAGCTCACTAGTCAGGGACAGGCACAATCAGAGAAGAATGAGATAGCATTTTAATGATAACACCCACACCTGGCAGGATGAAGGGAGAAGGATGCCTTGCTGGGGGAAATAGGAATTTAGAGTCTCAGTGGGAGATCAGCCCAGTGATTTACAGAAGGGAGACACAAAAGCTGAGCAGTGTGGAAGCTGGAAGCCACCCGACAGCAAGATTCAGGAGTATCAGGGGCAGGCTCCTCAACCAGCCAGGGCTTCTGGGGCTCAGGGGACCCACCGGCCATTGCATTTTTGTGGGATTGCCTATTTCATGATATTTGAGTTTGTCAGCCTGAAAATTCAAGACTATGATTCCTGAGTCAGAGGAGTACGTGGTCCTGTGTTTGGCCAGAGGGTGGGGATGGATTTGACCCCCTTCCAGCTGTCTGGCCCCCAGGGAAATACTAAACTGTGTGAAGAGGGGAAAACCGTGAACTTGGCAGACAGTATCAACCACAGATGTGGTCCTGCTACCAGGTCCTGAGACATGGGCAGGGGACTTCCCAAGCTGTCTGTGACAGACTCTGAGGTCACACAGTAGAACCTGAACATGAAGCCTGTCATCACCCCGGAGTGAGATTTGGTCTTTCTTTCATTACCTCTCATTCACTCCTGCCCTCACCTTTCATCCCTTTTCTGCCAGCACCTCAAGGCCAACAAATACAGAAAAGGGACCTTCCTGTTCCTCATGTCTTCAAAGACTAGGGGCAAAAAAGGCTTTCCAGAAGGATTTGAGCCCCCAGGGAAGGATCAAGTTCCAAGCAGTGGATCAGCCACCTAGCTCTGGGCCAAATCTCCAACCCCAGGGTCTGGGTCCCCAGCTCAGCCCCTTGCTAGCCAAGTCACCTACAAGCCACTCAGCCTCTCTTAGCCTCAATTTCCCCCTCTGGGAAATGGGATAACATTTCACTGCCTGGTGGGGCTGCTGTGCTGTTTGAGGGACAGGATGGTGCAGGGGTTAGGAGCCCAGGCTACACACTGTACAATCCAGCATCTCACCCCTACCATGGTGGGAATGCATCCACCAGAAGACATGTATGCGAATGTCCACAGTGGCTCTGTTCATAATAGAAAAGAACTGGAAACATTCTAACTATCCATCAGTTTGAGAACAGATAATCAAGTTGTGATGTTTCCATGCAATGGAAAACAGAGTACTAGACACTGCTAGTCAGGACACATGGCTTAAAGCTCACTGATACTCTGTTGAAGGAAAGAAGCCAGAAGTAATAATGCAATCAAGAACAGATGCTAATCTAGGGGAAGAACTCCGAACAGTGGTCACCCTTTGGAGGGGAATGGACCGGGAAGAGGGACAAGGGAAATTCATGGGGCACCGGAAATGGTCTAGTTCCTGATCTCAGTGGTGGCTGCACAGGTGTATCCACACATACACATTGGTACACTTAAGATCTGTACACATGACCGTATGTAAATCATCCGTAAAAGAAGAGGAGAAACATACAACAAAAAGGATCGATGATGGTGCCAGGCCAGCTGGAAACTGGCAAAACGACTGTGTTTCAGTGTCCTCATTGGAGGACAGTACCAGCGACAGAATACAGTACCAGCGACATGGGGCTGTCATCAGGATTCTACGAGATAATCAATGTAAAGACCGGTGTCTGGCATGTGGTACGCGCTTTCCAAGATAAGTGGAGCTCTTACGTTAGCCGGGGTGATGAGAGTAAAATGCTTGACACGGGCCCAGCACACGCCAGCAATTGCTGGTGAGTGTCATCTAAGGCGTCCACTACCCCCCACCCAAGACATCTTCCTGACCTCGTTACTGGGATGAGCCTGAGTCTACCCTTACCAGTCTGACCACCCCTCAGGGGCTTTACCTGCAAACCAGCCCATGCTTCTCCCTCTCTCAGCTATGATCCACCGTATTTTCCGTTCCTCATAACAACCATCTTTGTATCTCAAGACTCCAGCCTGATATCACCTTATTCTCCCCGCCCCAACCACATGCTCACTGGGGATTTCCAGCTTGGCTGGTTCCTGGCTTCTGGGACAGATCTGGACAGAGCCCCCAGCTGGGGAAGCTGGAGG